AAAAAAAAAAAAAGCCCTGTCAGCTGTTTCCTCTCCTCTGAGCAACACCCTCCACTCTTCCATATTGCCCTGGATTGCAATTCTGGCCGGAAACCTGCTGATTCCACCTGTGGCAAGAAAGAGAAGGAGGTGGGGACCTTCTGACCATTCCTGGGTGAGGCAACAGCTAGGGCTAGGGTGAGGCTACCACAGTGCCACGTTTAAAGGAGGCACCCACTCTTAGGGGCCAGCCCTGCATTTACAGCACCCTGCAAGTGAGCACCACCTTAAATATTACTCCCTAGAGCCTCACCCTAGCCCTGGCGCTGTGCAAGGGGATGCTCCTTCCTCCAACAGTGGCTCAGAAGACGGGGCTGGGTCTCCTAGCCCTGGCTTCAGAATTTCAACCACCAATCAATTTTATGGAGACACAGGGCCAACAGAACTACCCCAAAGGCTTAGGAAACTCCATAAATGTTGTTGACTTAAGGGACTTGGCCAGAGACACACCCACCTTGAACCTCCTTCCCCAATGCCCTACCTGTTTATAGTGGCCTCCTCCCAGAGATGTGAGTTCAGGGGTCAGGAAACCAGGTCCTAAGGTCCCTCCTCCTGAGGACTCAGCAGCCCAGGGCTCCAGTACCCTTTTCCCTTAAGTTCAAGGAGTCCAGACTATCACCCTCTTCTCGGGGACCCACAATCCAACTTACAAAGCGTCCAAAGCGGATAGAATCGCCATCCTCAATGTGCAGGTCAGCTTGGGCCCCACTAAGGCGGGAGATGACAGACTGGCAGCCAGGAAGTAGAGACCGGAGCACCCCTGAGCCTGTGATGTGGTCTGCGTGGCAGTGGGTGTTCACTGGGAGAGAGGAGGACAAGATTAGGGCCAAGCCCCCAACCCTCCTCCCTCAGACCCCCTGGGTCCAGGCCCCAGCACCTCCTCCCTCCACCCACGCGTTTTGTCTCCAGACTCACCAGCGTACAGCAGCCGCAGCCCCAGCTCCTTGACCAACTGGGCATCCCGGGGTGCTGTCTCCAGGACCGGGTCGATCAGAATGGCCTCCCGGGACTCTCTGTCACCCAGTAGGTAGGTATAGGTGCAGCTTTTCGGCTCAAACATCTGGGGGTGAGGTTGGGGGACACAGGTGAGAGTGCCCATCTGCGACTCCCATCCCCCAGAGCCAGGAGTCCAGACCACACATCCTCTTCCTGAGTTTCTGAAGCAGAAACCCCAGTCCCTCTTTCTCCTGGAGTCGGGAATCCGGGTATCCGGGTCCCCAACTTCCTCTACCAGAACTAAGTCATTCCAAGTTTCTTTTTTTTTTTTTCTTTTTTTCCTTTCAAAAGTAGAGAGAGGTTCATTAAAAAAAAAAAAAAAAGATACACAGTCGGAGGAGGATGGGAACAACCTTGAGAGAGCGAAGGCTTTAGGTTAAAGCAAGGGATAGCACCCAGGGAAACCGCGGGCCACCCGGAGGGAGACAGCGCCAGGAACTCCAACACCCCAAACCTGGTCCCCAGCACTCTACCTCGTAACGGACCCAGGAGTTCGGCCCCAAACCCACGGTCCCCCATATCGCTCCCCTGGACACTGCACTCCAGCCCCCAGCTCCGCCTGCTGTGTGCAAGGCACAGGCATGGGACCCCCACCCCCAGGTCCCTCCCCTCCCGCTGCCCACGGCCCAGTAACCCGCTTCCTGGTCCAGCCGCCTCGCACCTGCCGCAGGAGGATGGGGGCTCCAGACCCGCTGTGCTGGCTCAGCTGCCGCCTAGCAACCCTTAGGGCCGCCGCTGCCATCGCGCCCCAGGCCAGGGTCCAAGCGGAGCCCAGGCAAAGCACCCGCCACAGCCCGACGCTCCAGGGCTGACCCTGAGAGCCGGGCGGGCGGGGGGCGGGGCCTGCCTTAAAGGGGCCGCGGGCTCCAGCGCGGAGGGAGGGCGGGGCGTGCAGCTGCAGACCGGGTGGGGGACGCAGGGAGGTGTCAGAGACCCAGGAAGACAACGAGCCGCTCCGGGGCACTCATATCTGGAAAAACAGAACAGAGACACTCGCGAGACGCTCAGAATACTGGCATAGAGAGAAAGACAGGCAGAGAGGTAGAAACTCAAGAGACCTCCAGTCACTCACAGCCACAGGCTATTGTATAGGAAAAGCCCTTGGTGGAAGAGTCATTATGAGAAAAAAAAGATGCTCGGTTCAAGGTCACTAGTGTTTTGAGGGACTGTTGGGTGGGTGCCTAGAACCAGAACAATACTAACCCCCTTAAGTTTCATCCAAAATTTCCTGAAGCAGTTTATTAGAAATTTTTCTTTTTTCCCCCAAGAATAAATATTTTATGTATGTGTTTGCACATGCATATATACATATTTGTTCTTGTATTATGTTTTTCATATAACTACATAATAAACAAAATATGCATAAATTACATGTAATACATATAAAAGTTTGCAAGATATAATTTTGCATTATATCTTGCAAACTCAGGCTGAAGATATTTTGCCTTATTTGTCTTCTGATGGAGTGTGAAACTGTAAAACAGCTTTTGTTCATTCAAATCAAAATCCAGAGCCAAGAAACTGCTGTCTAAAGCCATGGACTGTCAGGAGTTTTGTTCTTCGGAATATATTAATAGTGTGAATAAGACCCTCCTAGGCTAGGGCTACACTCAGTGGTAGAGCACTTGCCTAGAACACACAAGGCCCCAGGGTTCCATCCTCAGTATAAAAATTAAATAAAGAAAGAAGTAAAAAAATAAAAAAACAAATAACTCAACTACTTTATTTTTATCTTCTGCAGGATCCAAAAAATTGCCAAAGAAGCAGTCTGACTGCTGGCCCAAGTGCAGAGAGCTTTTGAGGTAGGTTTCAGGCGGCAACAGTCCACTTTTATGCCCCCATTTTAAAAATATTTTTATTAGTTATAGATGGGCACAATGCCTTTATTTTATTTATTTTTTTATGTGGTGCTGAAAATCGAACCCAGTGCCTCCCACATTCTAGGCAAGTGCTCTACCACTGAGCCACAACCCCAGCCTAAGTACTTTTAATTTTTATTTTGAAACTGGATCTTGCTCAGTTGCCCAGGCCAGCCTCAAACTTACTATCCTCCTGCCAAATTGCTGGGATTACGGGATGTGACAAGGCACTGAAATCCACCTTGGTCTTAACTCTGAAGTTTCCAAGGAACAGGCTCTGGAAGGAATCCTCAGAGCAGGCCCCACTTTAATCCCTTTCCACTTGATGTGTTTTGCCTTAAGCCTAAACTCTGCCTCACTTAAATTTTAAACAAATGTCATCTTTCCCCAGACCCTCTGCTAGTGCTAGCCCTCTCTCTCTGTGTGTTTGGGGAGCTGGCCAGGACTTCCTCTATGGTCTTGTCTTCCCTCCTAAGCTACAGCAAGTCAATAAAACCCAATTTTGCCAAACTCCCCGAGTATCTCTGGTGGCCTTCATCAGAGGTAAGACTCATAGAGCCCCTCAAGGGCAAGGCAGAGCTCAGATACCAAAGAAGGAGACCTGAAGAGCCTGAAGAGACACAGGGAGGGTTGAAATGGAGGTCCTACAGAGAAACAGAGTCACAAAGGTACAGCTGTAGATTCTAGAAGATTGTGGGAGGAAGTCACCCGGAGAAATGGGTGGAGAGAAACGCTCCGAGCCAAGGGAACTTGGCTCATTTACTCCAGGCATGAATTCCAGGCTTGCCACCTGGGCAAAACTGGGACCCAGAGGTGAGTCCCCAGTCAGGACGGTGAGACACAGAGGTGGGGACATAAGGAAGTGCAGCAATTGGAGGAGCTCAGGGGAGGGAGGAGCCAGGGGAAAAAAGAACCTTCAGGCACTCTTCACTGGGAGAGCTCCCCAAATACCACCTGCTCCTCCTGGGGCTCATTCCTAATGTTTTGACAGAATTTCTAGGTTGATTACCTGACCCTTGAAGGCCCTCTGGGGTTTCTGTAGGCTCAGCTGTCAGATGTCCTAAAAGTTAGAAGAAACCTTGGCTTCATCCTTCTCAGAGCTGAGATCTTGGGCTGAAAATTGTTCTTTCTCTGCATTTCAGTTTTCTCATCTGTAAAATGAAGTTGAAAATATTTCCTCCCTTCTTTATGAAGGTCCAGTTAGTTCCCACCTGTAGAGTCTGGAAGAGCACCTGGCCCGGAACAGGACCTTGGTGGAAGCTGGCCAGCATTACTTCATCTTTGTCCTTCACTCCTTCCTCTCCTGGCCACCTCCACCCAGTTCATCTCCAGGCCCTGTTAAGTAAACCTCTCCAGTCAGGCCCCCTTTCCATCCTCATGCCCTCTAACTCCATCAAGAGGCAGCAAAGCATCAGTGTGAATTGTTTGGACTCCAGGGCCAGGGTGTAGGGATTGAAATTCTGGTTGTTACTTCCTGCTGGGACCTGGCTGTGTGACCTTGGGCATGTGACCTTGCACTCCATGCCTTATTTCCCTCTTCTGAGGAGAACAATAGTAGCACCTCCTTTTAATAAATTGCTGTGGATATTAAATAAATTAATGTACATAAAGACAATTTCTAGTATATAACAAGTTAATAAGTGCTCAATAAATGCTAGTAGTTAATACTGTGATGACTAGGTAACAGTGGACTCCCTGGTTTTCGGGCTTCCACTTACCTCTTTACAATTAATTTTCCATGCAGCCATCAGAGCATTTAAAATGTCAATGAAAAAAGAGTCACAGCAAATAATGCAACGTGTGAGCCTTGTTTAATTCTGATTCAAACAAACTAAGTGTGATAAAAAGATGTTTATGGGATATGGTGTCTGGCACTGAGCTTTCAAATCATCTAGGAGGAAGTGGTTGTGGTCATTTAAACAACATTGGTCACAAGTGAGTGATTGCAGTCGGGCTGAGTGGCACATGCCTGTAATCCCAGAGAGCAGCGACTTGGGAGGCTGAGGCAAAAGATTTCAAGTTCAAAGCCAGCCTCAGCAAAAGTGAGGTGCTAAGCAACTCCATGAGACCCTGTCTGAAAATACAATACAAAATAAGGCTGTGGATGTAGCTCAGTGGTTGAGTGCCCCTGAGTTCAATCCCCAGTACCAAAAAATAAAAAATAAGTGTGTGATAGTTGTCACTGGCCAATTTTTCTTTTTTCCAGTGCTGAGGATCAAAACCAGGGCCTTATGTATGACAGGCCCAACCTGATGCTGGCCAATTCTATTATTGACGCAGCAAATAATTGTTTTGTCTCAACTTTTAAATAAAATTAAACATTGCACTTGGAAAAAGTAGGGGAAAATGTTAATGGGGCTATAGGAAAAACTGAACTCTGATGGGGTATTTGATAACATTAAGAAATGACTAAGCGATCAAAATGGTACATGCTTGTAATCTCAGCAGCTTGGCAGGCTGAGACAGGAGGACAGCCTCAGCAACAGAGAGCACATGCTAAGCAAGTGCTATGCCCCTGAGTTGCACCTCAGCCCTTTTTCTTGGTGGGGAGCTACTGGGGATTGAACTCAAGGACATTTGACCACTGGGCCACATCCCCAGCCCTATTTTGTATTTTATTTAGAGACAGGTCTCACTGAGTTGCTTATGCCTTGCTGTTGCTGAGGCTGGCTTTGAACTCACAATCCTCCTGACTCAGCTAGCCAAGCCACTGGGATTACAGGCGTGTGTCACTTCACCTGGCAACTTCAGCCCTTTTTAAAATATATTTTTTTAAGCTGGGCACAGTGGTGGACACCTGTAATTCCAGCTACTAGGGAGACTGAGCAGGAGGACTGCAAGTTTGAGGCCAACCTTGGCAACTAACAAGACCCTATATCAAAACAAAAAAAGAAGGGCTGGGGATATAGCTCAGTGGTACAGTGATGACCTTCCATGGTCAAAGCTCTGGGTCCAATCCCCTAATACATCAAAAAATATATTTTGAGACAGGATCTTGCAAAATTGTCCTTACTAGCCTTGAACTTGCAATCCTCCTGCCTCAGTTTCCCTAGAGGCTGGGATTACAGGTGTGTGCCACCACACCTAACTTTTCCATAATTAAAAAAAATGGTTAAAAAAATATCAGGGGCTGTGGCTGTGGCTCAGTGGCAGAGCACTTGCCCTGCATGTGTGAGGTATTGGGTTCGATCCTTAGCATGATCCTAAGTTCCTTGACCTTAAGTTCCATATTCTACCCATCATTCTATCTTTCTGTCACAGAGGGCTTCTTATTGTTAAAATTCTTTCATGTATTTATTGGACACAGATTTATTGACCATCTCTTATGTGCTAGACCCTGTTCTGGATTCTGGAGGCACAGAGATGAACAAGATTGATAAGTTGTTCATTTTAACAGAGCACACATTCTAGAAGACAGATATATAGCGATAAGGGAGAGGACATAGCCAGGAATGGAGGGAAGGGTGAGCAGGGAAGTCTTCACCTTTATAACATTTGAATGGAGGTGGGGGTGGGTGGAGGCAAGCAAAGAGAAGAAGGAAGAGCTGCAGGGAAAGAAAGAACAGCTAGTGCAGAGACACTGAGGCAGGAATGACAGTGGCAACACAGGAGCTGGAAGGAAGGCCAGCATCTGGGACATGACAAGTTATGACAGGTGAGATTCCCCCGAATGCAGCAAGGTCCTCCCCATCTTGAAGTCTGGTCACTTGCTCTTCTTGGTACAACTTTGACCCCATCAGGCCTAGTTTAATACACAGTAAAAACAAAAATATTGATAGCATTTATTGAGCATTCTAGACACTTTCTGTTCTCAAAAATTTCCATTGATTATCTTACTTAATCCCAAGAACCTTCCATTTTATATATGAGGAAACTGAAACCCAGAAAGATGAAGTGACTTGCCCAAGGTCACAGGGCTAGAAAGTGGCAGGGTCAAGAGTTCAGACCAGTTACCCCCAGGCAATCTGGCTCCAGAACCCAAATTACCTGCCAAAGTACTCCCACAGCTCCCAGGGCTCGCCAGACCTTATTGTCAGGCTGAAGAGTCACCCAGGCGGAGGACTTTAAAGGACACTTCATAGTCTTTCCAGCGCGGGGCAGGAACGTGCACCGTCACTGCCTGGGAAGAATGCCACCCTGGGTTTGGCACCAGGAGAATAAGCCTGGGCACCTCGGGACCACCCAGGCCGGGGGAAGGAGGAAGCGTGGAATGCGGGGCCGGGACGGGGATGCTAAGAACCTGGAGCCACCCATGGTGGAGGGTGCCAGGATTCTATAAAATGCCATGCCTTTTATCGGGCACCAGCTCACTCCGAGTGAGTCCTCCCCCGCCCTCTCTCGAAGAAACGGCCAGATGTTTTTGCAAATGCCTTTAGAGGTGAAGTGGAGAACGAGCTTTTGAAATTGCCTCCAGAGATTAACTCAGGCTGTCCCATGAAAAGAAGAGGGGTACTTCAAAAAGAAGTACAGAGGCTCGGAGCCTTCTCTGAGCTCCAAGCGTAGCTAGTCCGTGTTAGCCTGCATGTGCTTGGCTCCAGCCAGCCACCGTAGGCCCCGCACCGCTGTGCACTTTACCGCGGTTCTTGGGCCGTCAGCTCTGCGCTTGATGGTGAACTTGTCTGCCAGGCTCACCCACCCCTTCCTTCCATTCCGTCTTCCCCTGCCGCAGCTTCTGCCGGCTGCAACTGCGCATGCGTCCACGCCGGCGTGGGAGGAGGGAATGGAAATGAGGCTGGGCCCAGCAGCTAGCGAAGCTCCCGCCTCCTCTGCCCGCCCCGTCGCCCAGCGGTGCAGCTCCGTGGGTCCGAAGGCAGCGAGGCAGCGGCTGGGGCACCCGGAGCGGCCGAGGAGGGTGGGGCTCGGAGCCCCGCCCCAAAGGAGGGGCAGTCCCACAGGTGAGGAGGGTAGGGGTCCTGGCTCGGACGCCTAGTCTACGGAAAACAGTGGGGGCTAAAAGCCAGGATCTCTCCGAGGAGGCTCGCTTTGGGTCCGGACACTCGGTTCCGGGGGGGGGGGATTTTGCACGAATACCAGCACTCTGAGGGGTGCACTGTATCCCGGATGCTTGCAACCCCGAAGGAAATACTATTAGAGGTCTCTGGATTGCTACACACGCCACATTCCTTTCGTATCTTCGTCCAGGTCTCCCTTCTGTCCTCCACGGCCACAATCCACACCGCGGGTGAAACTTACCAACTAGAAAGACGAGGTTGACGCGGCGTCAATGGACTGAGACTGAGCCCAAAGCCTGGTAAAGCCACTCTTGGATGTAAAGTTCTGCCCACTGCGCTAATAGGCCCCTCCCCTGGGACAGAGCTGCAAAAGACACCGCCCACTCCACTCGCCCGCCTGCCCCTGGGCCTGAGTTGCGGAGCAATTGACTATGGTCTTTTTGCATAACCCCGCCCATCCCTATGTTAGCTCTCACGGCCGTAGGGTTTGGAGGGAGGAAGGTTCCGCCCACTCTGAACGTAGGCCCCGCCCACTCTACCCAAGCTTCAATTGCAAAGGTCTTTGTTAGATTTGCATAGCCTCGCCCATTCTGCTCTTAGGCCCCGCCTTCCCGCCACGCCTGCCCTCACCTAAGAATCCCATATAAACAGACTGACCTGATTTTAGGCCTTCCAACCAACCCTATCCCTATCAACCTGGTAAAACCCAGCATCACCTCCGCCCCTGCGCTCTGCCCCTAGGTTCCTGTGTCAGCAAGATGCTGGAGCGAGGTGCGAAGTCCAAGGCTGAGGGCACAAATCCTAGTCCTACTGGCAAGGAGCCCGTGACCAAAGGAGTTGAGAGCGACCCTGCCTGTGAGTAGGGTTCATTCCCAGGAATGGGCTGATAAGAAGATCACATGTTTTGGGAAATCATTGGCTGAAAGTTTGAAGTCCCAGAATCATGACCATTTAGGATCCCCAAAACTGCATCTGCTCTGGGGAATCCTCCCATTTGATTTTGGGAAATCTCCAGTGGTCATTCACTAGGGCTGAGGAAATTAGGAGGCATATGGGGATGTGGGACTTTAGGGTGATCACTGGAAAGATACTGGAAATAGATGCCTCAGTAGCTTTGGGGACCTAGAAAGGTAACCCCTTGGGGCCTCTCAGGATAATGCATGGGAGAAAAGGGATGCAGAAATAATGCCATTTAGAAAATTAGTGTAACGTTAAAATGCTAAGGTACATTTTGGGTGGCGGGCTGCAACATCAAGGTGTTAGCAGAGCCTAGCTTGGACCCAGGGTGTTAGCTGCTTTCTGGAGCCCAACAGTCCTCCTGTCCCCCAGCTCCCCACCAGGCCCCGCCGCAGAAGCCCAGCCAGTCTGCTCCAGGGCCCTCCAAGTCTGGGGGTACGCCTTCCCGGGCCCGCCGGCGGCCCCCACCCCAGCGCCTGCACCGCTGCCCTGACTGTGACAAGGCCTTCTCCTACCCGTCCAAGCTTGCCACACACCGGTTAGCCCACGGCGGCACCCGACCCCACCCGTGCCCCGACTGCCCCAAGGCCTTCTCCTACCCCTCTAAGCTGGCAGCCCACCGCCTCACACACAGTGGTGCCCGCCCGCACCCCTGCCCGCACTGCCCAAAGGCCTTTGGCCACCGCTCCAAGCTGGCAGCCCACCTCTGGACCCACGCTCCCACCCGTCCCTACCCATGCCCTGATTGCTCCAAGTCCTTCTGCTACCCCTCCAAACTGGCAGCCCACCGCCACACACACCATGCCAATGACGCCCGCCCCTATCCTTGCCCACACTGCCCCAAGGCCTTCTCATTTCCCTCCAAGCTGGCTGCCCATCGCCTATGTCACGACCCCCCCACCGCACCAGGCAGCCCAGCCACTGGTCAACACCGATGCTCCAACTGTGGCCAGGCCTTTGGCCAGAGACGCCTCCTGCTCGTTCATCAACGCAGCCACCACCAGGCAGAGGGCCAGGGGGAGAGAGACTGAGCTCTCCCTTTGGCTCACAGGCGGCCCCTTCCAGCCAGCTCCGGTCAATAAAAAGGTGGGATTTCTAAGCCCTGCTGTATGGACTTGGCTCTTCCAGATAGCTGGCAGGGTGAAAGATCTGCCATTTACACTGGGTTCAGAATTAGAAGCCTGAGGAACTCTGCTCACCTGGAGGGGCAGGTGTCAACCTGAATTAACACTGGATCCCAAACCATGGACCCGGAGCTGTGGTTCAGTGGGACTGGTTCAATCTGGTTCTTCCCACCCATTTATATGGCAAAGGTAAAGCCTGCTAGCATCCTGGGTTGCTGCGGAATGTGGGCAAACAGGCTCTCTCCTTGCAGAAAGTTTAACTTGGTATCTCCACCTTGGCCACGTGACTGGTTCTAAGACATTTAAAATATACACATTTGCTGGTTTCAACTATTCCACTTGTAGGAATTTCTCCCATAAACTCAAAACATGTCAAGACATAAAGGTAAGGCTGTCCACTGCGGGATGATGGTTTCCAAAGACTGGCAACAGCCCATATGCCTGCCCATGAGTGGGGGCCAGCTAATGAATGACAGGAGAGCCACAGAGTGGACTGTGTAGGGAGAGGGCAGCACTGTTACAGATGTGAAAAGAGCCCTGAGATGTACTAAGTGATGAAGGCAAGCTCAGGGAAACACCCAAACCGCAGAACTAGCCCTGCCACTCCTCAGGGGTCTGGGGGGCCTCAGACAAGATTTGTCACTTGTCCAAACTCAGATGCCTCATCTGTAAAATGAGGACATTCTAAGGCATTTTTAAGCTTCCCTTTTGGAGTTTATTCTCCTACCATAATAAGGATGAGTGTGCTCTGTTCCAGATATATATTAAGCACCTACTGTGTGCTGCACCCCATGTGGGGTGTTAGGGACATAGCAGTGAAGACAGACCTGGTCTAGTACGGAGAGCAGACAGAAATCAAGCCAAGCCAGACCCCCAACCCAAAAAACAAGCCAGGTCCATTTACAGGACAAGTGTGGGAGCCTTGGTCCACTGCCCCCTCCACAAGGATTACCTCAAGGCTGTAGTGACATCTTTCTTGGGTGTTGGTTTGGAAACAGGCCAATGGAAGGGAACTGAGAGCTCAGAAATGGGCCTGTGCTTATACTGACAGACTATCTGTAGATCAGATAGTCTGTCAGTATAAGACTATCTGAGGGCCAACTTTTCCTGAGGGCCAGACCGTATATATTCTTAGGTTATATAGGCCATGTGTCTGCCACAATTAGTCACCTCTGCTGCTGGAGCAGAAAAGCAGCTATACACATTATTATGCACACGTGAAGGAGTGTGGCTGTGTTCCAACAAGTTATTTACCAAAAAACACTAGGTGAGCTGGATTTTGCCTTAGGGCCCAGTTTGCCAACCCCTACTGTGGATGAGTGGGTAAAGGGTAGACTCAGTACTGAGCTGAAAAATATGGAGGAAAATTAAATGGGATCCTGTGGTGTACAGAACAGTGCCTACCTAAAGATGCTTACATTCTAACCCCCAGAACCTTTGCTAGCCTACACGTGGCAAAAGGGACCACAGGCAGACAGATCTTGAAGGACTTCTTGAGATGGGGAGATGGTCCAGATTTTGAGTAGGTCCAGTGTGATCACAAGGATCGTTATATGGGAACAAGAGCAGCGTTAAGAGTCAGAGGAGAGGTGAAGGTGGAAGAAGAGATTGAAGTGATAAAAGGACCCTAGCTGAGGATCTGGGCAGCCTCTAGAAGCTAGGAAGGGCAAGGAAATGGATTCTTCCTTAGAGCCTCAAGACCTGCTGAAGACCTGTGGACACCTTGATTTTAGGACAATGAAGCTGAGTTTGGACTAAATATATGTTGTTTAAAGCCATTAAGCTTGTGGTGATTTGTTACAGCAACAGTAGGAAATGAATGGCGATCCTGGCACCTCACATTATACACAGAAGTAAGTTTCTGTTGATTTAAAATGCAGTTTGAGGAACAAAACCCTAAGAAATAAAAGAGAATTATCTTAGTAACCACAGAAGCAGAGCATGTATTCTTGGCGGGTGGGGAGCACAAAAGGGTAAAGATTCTGCTCTTGCAGTGTTGCTTATATCATGTTTACACAGAGAGCAGTGCTGGGAGTTATTCCAAAGCAACCACACCATCAGCAGTTGCAAGTACTTAAACTCATCTGAGAGATGTTGACTTGGCTCAATCTTACTTGGTACACATGGAAAAAATGAGGTTGAGAGAGGATTTACTTGTAACCAAACAGGGCAGGAGCTGAGTCTGGAATGGAATGTGAATTGCCTTTAAAAGCTGGGAGGATGGGCAGATGGTGGGTCTCCTGGTATCCTGCTGTCTGCTCCTTAAGCACAGGAGACCTGCTCATGCCTCAGAACCTTTGCACTTACTTTCCCTCTGCCTGCAAGGGCTCTCCCAGGTACTCCTGTACATCTCCCAGGGCCCTGCAGAGCGCGGCAAATCCTCTATAAACTACCGGACCCTGCCCCACTGCCCTGCTGAATTTGTCTCCCTGCGTTTTTCACTGCCCAGTGCACCAGACTCCCCAGCTCTCCAGCGCAATGGCAGCCCTGCGGGATCAGGAACTAGTGTCATTTTTTTTTTCCTACACTGAAGTCCTAGTGTTACACGTGCTGGTTGTGGTGGGTAGAAGAATGGCCTCCCAAAGATGTTCACATCCTAATCCCTGGAACCTGTGAATATGTGGCAAAGGAGAATGAAGTGGAGAAGGAATGAAGGTTGTTAAGTAAATGACCTTCAAACAGATTATCCCAGGTGATCTATGTGGGCTCCGTGTAATCACAGGGCCTTTACATGTGGAAGACAGTAAACTGGCCACAGCTGGCTTTGAACCTGGAAGGGAATAGAAGATGGACTGCTCTTAACAGCTGGGCAGGCTGAGCAGATCCACCCCTGGGCCTCCAGGAGGCTCACTGCTCTGCCTACACCTGGGTTTTTAGCCCAGATCCCCATGTTAGGTTTCAGAGCTTCACACCTGGAAGATGAGTTTCGGTTGGTGGTTTGATACAGCTGCCCTGGATGACGGTGATCTGAATGGGGGTGATTGAATGAAGGAGTGAATACAGACTAATGCCATCTTATCTTATGGATAAAGAAACGAAGGTTCAGAAAGGGAAAGGAGGGAGACTGCCAGCTCTGGGGGTTGACTTGGTGTGTTCAAGAAATGACCCGGGGTGGGTGGGGAGCTGCAGCTGTAACTCAGTGGCAGAGCACTTGCCTAGCATGTGTGAGGCACTGGGTTCGATCCTTAGCACCACATAAAAAACTAAACAAATAAAGGCATGCTGTCCATCTACAACTATAATTAAAAAAAAAAAAGAGATGACCAATGACCCGGAGGTCAGCTCTCAAACCCAGCTCTGGCCTTTGTCCTGCTCAAGTACCTTCCTGACTTCCCCACCACCAGGATAAAGTCCATGCTCCTGGGCCAGGGATGCTCAGCCCTTTGGGGCAGCCCTGTCCAAAAAGCCTTCCACAGTGACAAGTGTTCTCTGCGCTGTCAGTACAGCAACCTCGGAGTACCTGAAATGTGTGGCCAGTGTGACTGAGGAAGTGAAGTTTCCATTTCAATTCACTGAAGCAGCCACCTGTGTCTAGCAGCCACCACATTGGACTGCACAGAAGCAAGGAACGTGCCCACCTCTCTGCTACATCTGCCCCTCAAGCCTCTTCTCCAAGGGCAGCAGCGCTCACCCGACTGCCTTAGGCTAGTCCTGCCTCCTGGCCCTTGCCATGGCCTGGTGCCTGCCTACAGGGCCATCCCTTCTGCCCAGATTCCCTAACACTTAGTTCAGTTCCCACCTTCAATGTGGTGGAACCTAGACGGGGTCCAGGCCATCACCCACAGAGAGACAATCCAGATGCAGAATGCCTCAGAGGACCAGAATGAGTACTGGGGCAGGGCTGAGTAGCAGATTCTTAATTCTGTCTCTAGCCAGCACAGGGGTGTGAGGCCAGGGAGAAAGGCAGAGCCCCTTCCCTCTCGGATCTCTGATGGAGGGGCCTGGTATACTTCCAGATGCCAGGACAGGGGTCTAACAGTAACCCAGAGACCTGACCCTCATGGAGGTAATCAAAACCAAACATGAGACATAAGCCAGAGTCTCTTGGAATTCTGGGAGACTCCTAAGTGTGACAGGGCAGCTGCTCCAAACAAGTCACCTTTATTAAACTGTGTGTGTGTGTGTGTGTGTGCGCGCGCGCGCGCGTGCGCGCCGCATGTGCATGCATGCAGGCACACCTATTTCAGGCCTGGGGCACGACCCCATAGAGCTGGTGGGGAAGTAACTTCTGCTTCTCGTTGCAACTGTAGATCCATCTGGGACGAACGAATGCCAGGGAAGGGTTGTCCATCAAGGCCTGTGGGGGGCAGGGGCCCATATGAGAATGCATAATGGCGGGATGGCGGGGTGTCAAGGCAGGCTCACCTCCTCAGGGCTCACCTCCTCGAAGCTGGGATCCCACTCCTGTGCCGTGATCACAAACTGAACCCGGTCGCTCATATAATCCTCGAGCTCCCTGTTAGGAGTGAGGAAGAAAGGCACGGGGCACGTCAGGTGATCAGTGCCCCTTCTCTCAACACCCCACTCCCAACCACTCTCAGAGGCTGTCCTCTCTCCAGCCCCACCTGTGCTCCCTTGAGCTATCCACAGTACCTCCATTTACCAGCCTGGCCAAGCCACAGTGGTGGCAGCTCCACAGGGGTAACCCTGATGATGGCCCTTTCAGAAGGAGGTAGAGACCCTCACTTTAGAGGAGACTGGGGGCTGCCCAGGAAAGCGGGCATGGCTGGCATTTGGTCTCTGCAGTCTGTGCCCATCCTATTGGCCAAGCACCTTCTCCCTCCTCCTTCCTTCTCACAACCCCTTCACGATGTCCCTGAGCCCTCCCCAGACTCATCATCTCTCCCAACACACTGACCCATTGAAAGCTGTGACATATCGGATGAGTTTCCGCCGCTCGTCTCCAGGGAACTCCCCATACAGGAAGAAGTGTTTGCCCTGGAAGAAGTCTGCAGGAGAGATGGTGGAAGGGGCACGTGAGGTCCCCTGAGTTCCAATGGCACCCAAGAATGGCACCCAATTGTCATCCCACAGGGACTGAACACTGGGAGCCAAGACAGGGAGGCAGGCAGGGTGTCTGAGATCAGGTGTGTGCAGGGGCAGGAACCTATGACAAGCAGTGGTTTCCAGCCCAGTGGCCCCTCAGAACCTTCTGGGAGGTGCGTTCGCTGGCTGGCTTGCTCTACTAGTGGAGGACACAATTACCACCAAGGCAAAGTGTCTGACAGGCCTGTCAACACTGCGACCCCAGGGCTGGCCACTTCTTCCTCTGGGCTGGCTCATTCCTCCAGCCAGTACCTGTCTCTTGCTCTGGCCTCCAGGGTGGCTTTCTTTTTTCCATTTTCATGTGACTTTCCAAGCCAATGACATGCTGCTGCCACTTGAGGGGCTTTGGAAACCACAGTGTTTTCCTGCTATCACCCATGAGGAGCTGGGGAAATAGGACTTCCAAAGGCCCCAAATCTCACCTCCACTCAGACCCTGACCCCTTTCTTCTTCCTTGTCTTCACCCTAAGAGACTCGTGCTCCTGTGCCCGTAAGCCCACAAACCCCTGCAGTTTTCCCATTTTCCTTTCTTATTTTGTCTTACACACATACACACACACACACACACACACACACACACACCATCCATGTCCCAGGTGATGAATATATTAAAGTGAACACAGGTGCCCACCACTGGGGTCCCAGTGGCAGCACTGCCCCCGTCACCTGGAGTGCCCGCGTCTCCCCCTAGACAGAACTGGACGGGAGGAGTGTGGTATGTGGGAAGAACTGGCGGGAGGTCCGGGCTGCTCATAACTGGAGGGGACCCCAGGGGCACCACGCCTGACACTGGGCTGTAAGGGGGCTGGTGAGAGCAAGAAGCCAGGAAGGGACAAAAAAGGAAGTCACAGAGAAGATGCTGAAACAGGAGGGGACATTTCGAGGACAACATGGAAGCAGTCAAGGCAGCAAGTCCAGAGCTGGGGGGAAGCCACAGCTGGGAACGCAGGAGCCAAGTCCCAGCTGGCCTGGGTGTTGGGGGAAGGACGGGATTTCCCACCTGGGAGTTCCGGGATCGGCAGCTCAGGAGACTCCGGGTGCTCCTCGTTGTCAGTGTTCTCGTCTGTGGAGCCTGCATACGGGTCTTCGCCATTTTCCTCCTGCCCAGGGGCCGGCTTCTGCTCCCTCTGCTCAGCCACCCTGGTGGAGCCAGGAGTGGTACAAGCTGAGCACCCAGAGCAGATCGCCACACTCAAAGCCAGGTCGCCCTAACCCTAGTCCCCAGCCTACCTCCTCAGCTCATCCTCAGTGTCCCCAGAATCTTCCGCTCCATTGTCTTGTCCTGTGAGCAGAAGCTCAGCCCCTGAGAAGTGCTTTGTCTTCTGGGAAGCTCGGTGACACCCACTTCTCAGAACGGCACCCAAGCACAGACCCAGGCATGCCAAACCCAACCTCAACGCCCTCCAGACCCAGTTACCTGGGCCCCAAGGCCCCCTGCTTCCACTTGTCTGGAATCTAGAGATTCCAGGCCCAGCCTCCCTCCCTCAGCCCCTGGGGTCCCAGCCCAGCCCCTCCTCCCTCAGACTCTAACCTGACTGGTCCTCCTCAACGTCCGTATCTTCCTGGGGCCCTGGCGAGGCTGTTTTGGTCTCTTCGGGAGTTGGGGGCCTTTGGGGTGAATTGGGTCCAGCTCCCTGGGGGGTCTTGGTTTTGGCCTGGGGGCGCTGAGTGAGGGAGGGTTGTGGGTGAGGAACGGGAGCAGAGATGTTGGGGGTGGGGTCTGTCCGCAGGGGGCTGGGGCACCACATTGTGTCCCCTCCCAATACGCCCTCCCCCATACGGGCAGGGCCACCAGACCTTGGGAGGAAGTTTGGGGGCCTCATCCTCACTGCTGCCATTGTGAGAGCCCCCCTCATCCTCGCTGCTGGAGCCAGGCCCGGCCATGAGGTACCTGAGGGAGGAAGGGGCGTAAGACTGGAGAACACCAAGCCCTCGGCGAGGAGGGAGAGCAAACACTCAGGGTGGGGATCCTGTCCCCTCCCGGCTGGAGAAGGACCCTGGGGCCATCAGTCCAGCACACTCTCCACACCTCCTCCTTGGGGGAAGACATGTCTCATTTCAGAGAGGAAAGAAAAATATGAAAAAGGCTTCCCCTGAGAGTCAAAATAAATTTCTCACTAGGAAAATGCCACCAATTAAGGGAAAATTCTCAAAAGCAAATACAGTTGGCCCTTTGTAGATCCAAATAACTGTGAATGGAAAATATCTGGGGGGGCGGGAGGAAGCTCTATCTGTAGTGAACATAAATGTATCTGTGTGTGTGTGTGTGTGTGTGTGTTTTACCAGGGATTGAAACCAGGGATGCTCTACTACTAAGCCACATGCCCAACCCTTAAAAAAATTTTTATATTTTATTTTGAGACAGGGTCTAGCTCAGCTGCTGAGGCTGACCTTGAACTTTGATCTTCTTGCCTCTGCTTCCAGAGTTGCTGGGATTAGAGGCATGGTCATAGTGCCTGGCTGAACATGTACATTTTTTGTCATTATTCCCTAAACAACACAAGTATAGCAAGTATTTACACAGCACTTACATAGTATTAGGTATTATAAGTATTATAAATGATCTAGAGATGATTTAAAATATATAGCAGGATATGTATAGTATGCAAATACTGCAGTTTTATTTTATTTTATTGCCTACGCTGGCCTTGAACTTGGGATCCTCCTTCCTTAGCCTCCTGAGTAGTAAGATTATAGGTGTGTACCACCATGCCTTGCCTACAGTTTTATATATGGGACTTGAGTATGCACAGATCCCCCAGTGTGTGTATGAGTGTCCTGAAACTCAGCCCCCAGCCCCTGATGACACCAAGGGTCCCTGTGTATTTTGAAGACCCTGATGCTCCGCATGGTTCTGCATGCAGTGGCTGCCTCAGGAAAGGAACTTCCCAGCTGTAATAACAGCAGTCACAGCTAAGGCTTATGTGGGACTTCATGTGCACCAGGAACTGTTCCAAGTCTTGGCAAATACTGACTCACTGAATCCTGATGTAGGGGCTATTTTTAGCACCATTTTACAAGTGAAGAAACTAAGGCACAGAGAGATATTTAATTTGCTCCCAAATCACAGGGCAGAGTGTGTAAGCAGAAGCGAATACTGCTTCATTAAGACCCTTCATGTATGACTTGGCTGTCTCAAGGCTGGAGAAACAGCATCCAGGATTATTTTTTGCAGTGCTAAGGAATAAAACCTGGAGTGCATGCATGCTAAGCATGTGCTCTACTCCAAAAATGTTTTTTAAAAACCTCAGTTTGTGGGCTGTGGCTGTGGCTCGGTGGTAGAGCGCTCGCCTAGCATGCGTGAGGCCCCGGGTTCGATCCTCAGCACCACATAAAAATAAGTAAATAAAGATATTGTGTCCATGCCCTGAACTCTTCTATCCTTGAGTTTTTAAAATACAACATGTTTCCTGAATTTTTTTGGTTAAAACCCCGTCATAAATCCAACAGTGTTTATCTTGTTCCATTTTCCTCCGTGTCCTCCTTGGAGTCTCCCAGACAGTGATCCCAATCTGTTTTCTTCTGCCCCAAACGTATCCTAAACCACCTGCTTCCACCTTCTTTCCATCTCTAAGGCCCCAGTCTCTTTGGGTCCCCATCTGCAGTTTCCCCCGGACACCACATCCCTTACAGAGCCTGCCCCTGTCCCCCTCAAACCTTCTGTGGCTCCCCTCTGTTCATAGAGGAGATGCTTGAGACGACATGAGTTTTAGAATTTTGAGTTCTGGTTTTCAGAGAGGCAATTCGCAGGTATACAGACTGTCGCACAACATCCTCAGCTATGGAGCATACTAGAGGGGAGCACCCTCTAGTCAAAGCCATTGATATGACTGTAGTAAACATGACAGACATCAGGACAAACATACACTCACATGGCTCAGGATGCTTGTGCAGCCAAGGGAGTTTGTGCCAAAGCCAGAAAACAACTCAAGGCTCTCAGACACGTTTAGAGTCCAGAACAAGGTACAAAAGGTCTGTGGAGCTGGACAGAGCCCAGCACCTCAGCCAAGCTGAACTAACCCCACCCGCCTTTCCAGTTTCATTCCCCGACCCCAGACAGTATCCCTTAAAAACAGAAGCATAGCACAGAGTACAGACCTACTTCCGAACACACTCAGGCCTGCAGCACAACTCAAGACTCCCCTTCTACCCACAGGCCTCAGATATGATCCTACTCTTCTCCAGCTCCAAAGTCTTCCCAGGCTCCCACTTCCCGCAGCCTCGTTTCTCTGCCATTTGCACCTTCTGCTGCAAGCTCCGTGGATGCTCCAGGTAGCCCCACCCTTGCCCCCCGCTGCTCAGCAAGTCCTCCGCCTGTGCTCAGAGAGGCAGACCTTTTCTTGTCCCAGAAGACGCCCCCTCTTCCTGACTTGTTGTGGGTTTCCCGGGGCCTTCCCCCATACTAGGTTTTAACAAGTCTGAACCTCATCAAAGTGAGATGTCTTCAGAGCAAGGCTCAAAGTTAGGTCGCAGCACTGCAGGGCCCAGCATGGCACCAACCAAGCAGAGGCTTCAGGACCTGCTGTGAGTGACAAACGACCAGGCCCCAGTGCTGTCCTCCACCCAATGCCTCTGTATGCGCAGTTCCTGCAGCTTGCAATGTCCTTTTCCTTTCCACTAGGAAGACTCCCAGAGCCCTCTGGGACCTTCCCAGAAGGACTCTTCCCAGAAGAGTCCCTTCCAGCTCTGTCCCTCCTCTCTGAAGCTGGCTGACTCTGGGCTGGAACCACCTGAGCTCTTGGTCAGCATGGGGACGAGGGGCAGGCTGGGTGCGTGTGGGCTGCATGTGTGCAGTGAGGCCTCACCTTCGGGAGGGCAGCCGCCGACGCATGCGGTGACAATCCAGCACCCATTCTTTACACACAATGCGACCTCCGAGGCCCAAGACCTGGCTGTACTTGGGGGTGTTGGCAAAGGCACAGCTGGTGGGGGCAGAATTGAGGGGTTTGGTTAGGCGTGATCTGAGGGGCAAAGGGGAAAAACAAAGGAGTGACAGAGAGGGGGAGAGGAAGTAAAGAGAGCAAGTGACACTGGAGACGGAAGGGATGGGAGATAAGACAGATGTAGAAATAAGAGGAGAAAAAGAGGCAGAGGCAGGTGAGCCAGGGAGACAGACAAGCAGCGGGTGGCGGGGAGGTAGAAAGAGAAGCAATGGAGGACAGGGCAGGGCAGGAAGGCGGCCTACATGAGGTGAGTGCTGTCTGGGGTCCAGTCTGGACGATACTTGGCACCCAGCTCCAGAGCCTTGTCCCGGAGCTCTGAGCGGAAGGGGTTCTGGAAGCCACTCAGAACCACCACCACACCCTGAAGGATCTTCCCCAGCTCCTGCGGGCCAGCTCGGGCTCCCCTGGCCTTGGTGCCTTCTCCCCGGGGCTTCCCTGGCACTGCCCCCTGTGCTGCGGCAGGAACGGGGGCCGTGGATGGGGTGCGGGTAGGAGCTGGTACTGGGAAGCAAAAGGGTAAAGAGTCAGTTAATACCACTGGGGCTAAACGTCCAGCCCCTCCCCCAGGCCCAGGAATTCACGACTCAGTCCTCCCTGTCAGGGCCTGGAGTCCAGGCCATGTGGAAATCAGGGATCTAGTTAGCTCACATTTGGGTCTCTTGAGGGCAGGTGGTGAGGGCTGGGCTGATGGTTTGTTGGGGATCTTCCTTTCTTCTAGATTCAAATCCAACTTCCTCTTCCCTTTGGGAGACTCCTGAGGCTGTGGGGGTAAGAATGGGCTGAGGCTTCCAGCTTCTTTCCTTCTCCATCCCACCGAAGTCTCGTGATCTCACCTTAGAGGTGCTGCTGACAGGCCTGGAAACTGGGGAGGCCGAGGAGGCCGCACTAGAGGCTTGGAGGGTAGCTGCTGCGTAGCTGGGCCCTGCTGGGTCACTGGTTGTGGCTACAGAGGGAGAAAGCGGAAGCAGGATGAAAGGGCTGGGCCTGAGACCCTTTCGCTCCTATCCATGGGACATACAGTGTCAGTCCTAAAACCCAGCAGTAATCTAGGGGTCTGGGCCCAAGCTCTCCTCCCTTAGCCCTAGGGGTCCAGGCCCCGAGCTGTCTTCTCTCAGACCCAGGGGTCCAGCCACCTCCTCTCAGACCTATGAGTCCAGGTCCCAACCCTCCATTAACTTAGCACCCAGGTTCCCACACTCACCCGGGGATGTCTTGTTAATCCGGCTGAAGAAGAGAGCCCCTGGCCTCAGGGAACTGGCACTGTCATCCTCCTCCTTCACACGGAACTGGCCAAGCTTGGTCACGGTCACCTTCTAAGGTCCCACAAGTCAGTGCAGTGGAAGGATGGCTGGCAGGTAGGGGTGGAGAGGAAAGGGGTGGCAGGTGGAGCTTACCTGGGACGGGGCCTCTGCCTGGTCTTTATCTGGGGGACTATGAAGCCGTATAAAACTCAGGCCATAGGGGGAGTCCTGGGAAAGCAGGAGTGAAAGTCAGGGTGTATGGGCCAAGGACAGAACCTGGCCCGAAGACCCTTTCACTTAGAAAAGTCCCTTTCTGGCTCTTTCTCTTTTTTTTTTATATGTATATATATTTTAGTTGTAGATGGACAATACCTTTATTTTATTTTAATGTGGCACTAAGGATCAAACCTAGTGCCTCACGTGTGCTAGGCAAGTGCTATACCACTGAGCCACACCCCCAGCCCTGCTCTTTCTCTCGTAAGGACACAATGTCTAAGGAGGTGCCCTATGGATGAGGATGATGATACAGAACTGTGCTGGGCCCTGACTCAGGGTCAGGTCAGCTCTGTGCCCTTGACATGCATTAGCTCCTTTAGCCCTCACAGCAACTGGCGAAGACTGCTGGGCAGCCAAGCGAATTTACTTCCACGTGCTCAAATCCCTACTAGGAATGGGAGGAATGCTGTGTACTACTTCCTGAACACAGAAATACTCCCAGTTCTCTCCTGCTCTGCCAGCTGGCTGCAGAGCCACAAAGTAGGAGGAGTCGGATCCCCAAATGACCTCATGGAGAGGAGGCAGCTGACCAGCTAAATACCTCCCAGGACAGCTGAATGGCAAGAAGTACATCTTTATTGTGCTGTGCTATTACATATTTGGGTCTCACTGTCACCACAGCTGAGACTCCTGTATAAACATTAGGAAATAGAGGCCCAGAGATGCTAAGTCACCTGCCCAGGTTCACATAGCTAAAAAGTGACATAGGCATGTTTTGAACCCAATGGTCAGACTACAGTCCCATGAGGTTAACTCTAGTCCCTGCTGATGAGTCAGTTGCCCCTCCTCCAATTCCTTTCGGATGTGCCACAGTTCACCTTTGCTAGACTCCAGGGAAATAAGCTTCTCAGCATGGGGAGGATCCCAAACCCATTTCCAGGAATGCAGGGATCCCAGCTTTGCCAACAACCCCATGGGGATAGAGTTATCCATTCCTCTCAGCCCTCTGGGACTCAGGATCCCTCTTCACCTCAGTTCCCTCTTCACCCAGAACCAAGGGCTCTGCGCCTTCAGTGAGGTACCTTGCTGTAGGGCTGGCTGCACACAATCTTGACCCGGTCCCAGCGCTTCTCTGCGGCAGCCCGGACCAACTTGTCAGGCCCAAAAATGCGAACACGGTTGGGGTTTGCACCACTGCGGCTCTCAGAAGGGGACATGAAGGATGAGGTTACCAGAAGGACCTGAGAGAAGAAGGCATGGTGAATGAGAACCAGGGCTGGCTGCTTTAGATGACACCTCCTAGGGGCTAGGCAAGAGGACAAGGGACCCAAGGGTATGTGGTAGGGGACGATTAGACTCTAGCTTGAGCCTGGACACTTCCAGACCCAGTAAGTATTGACTTGACACAGGTTTCCAAGGTACTTTTAAAATACCTATCTATCTATCTATCTATCTATCTATCTATCTATCTATCTATCTATCTATTTTTTAGTTGTAGTTGGACATAATATCTTTATTTATTTATTTACTTACTTACTTATTTTTTATGTGGTGCTGAGGATCGCATGTGCTAGGCAAGCGTTCTACCACTGAGCCACAATCCCAGCCCCGACTATCTTTATATATATTTAAAAAATTTATTTGTGGTGATCAAATACGGAGCCTTATGCACACTAGGGCAAGCACTCTACCACTGACCTACACCGCACCACCAACTTCTATCCCCAACCCACAATATAGATATATATGCATGTTTTAAAATTGATACATATCAATCGCACAGATTTATGGGGTACAGTGTGACATTCAATACATGTAAACAGTGTGCAATGATCACATCAGGGTAACTGGCACATTTCTTTGCATTGGGAACATTCAAAATTCTCTCTACTAGCTATTTTGAAATGTACAATTAATTCTTGCCAACTGTGATTATTCTGTGCTATGGAGAAGTCATTCTTCCTATCCAACTGTAACCCTGCACCCATCAGCCATTCTCTCTCCATCCCTCCTCTCACACACCCTTCCCAGGATCTAGGAACCACTCTTCTATTCTCTATTTCCTATTTGAGATCAACTGTTAAGCTTCCCTCCTTAAGTGAGAACATGTGGTGTTTGTCTTTCAGTACTTGGCTTATTAACTTAACATGATTTCTTGCAGTACCATCCATGTTGCTGCAAATGACAGAATTTCATTCTTTCTTTCTTTTTTTTTTCTTTTCTTTTTTTTTTTTTTTTTTTTTTTTTTTTTGGTACTGGGGCTTGAACTCAGGGCACTCAGCCACTGAGCCCCATCCCCAGCCCTATTTTGTATTTTATTAGAGACAGGGTCCCACTGAGTTACTTAGTGCCTCACTTTTGCTGAGTCTAGCTTTGAATTCACGATCCTCCTGCCTCAGCCTCCTGAGCCACATACACCACCATGCCCAGCTAGAATTTCATTCTTTTTATGGTGGAATAATATTCCGTTGTGTATATAAGCAATGTTTCCTGTATCTCTTCGTCCACTGCTGGATACTGCAATTGATTCCATATCTTGGCTATTGTGAATCACGCTGTAATAAACATGGGGATATGTTTATATTATGCAGAAATATCTTAACATACTGATTTTTATTTCTTGTGGGTATTCACCCAGGAGTGGGATTGCTGGATCATATGGTAGTCCAAAGGACTCTTTCTAACCTCTGGATCTGAATGATCCTTCTCTGAACTCTTCCATGGAGTTTTAACATCAGACAATATGGCAGGCTACATGTCTAAGGAACTCTCCCAGCAGAGAGTATTCATAGTGACTGGCACAATATTCAAATGCCTTTGGAAATGCATGGCTGAGTCAGTGGAAAGGCTAAGAGAATTACAGGAGGCCAGAAATGATAAAGCAGAATCCAAAAATGCAGGGAACAGCGTCAATTATTAAGTGATTGCTTCTCCACTCACACCCACCTCACCCTTGGCACTATGATGTGGGCTGCCCTTGGTGAAGGACATTTCTGTTGCCCACTACACCTTACCAGGCCCTGCCAATAGGGGGAGCTAGAGACAAGGGGAAGAGAAACAGCCTCACTGGGCTGTAAGGTATGAGGAGAGGGCTCTGCTCCTTCTTGTCCATTTGCAGACTCTAGGAGCACACCCAGGACACAGCTACTGAGGATCTTTCCTACAGCCCCAGATTAATCCAGTTTACAGCTTCCTGACATCTGTGGAGCCAGCCTCATCCTGCCTCTCTCAGGGACACCAGAGGCAGTGGATGGGAGAACAACTCCTCCTTGGGATCTGAGTTTAGGCCTCCCCACATGTAGCAACCCCACCTTTGGTTTCTAACCATGTACATTTCATTAATTCCAGCTTCTCCGGTTCTTGCAATCCTAGAAGCTGCTCTCTGCTGTTGCTTCTTCATTAGACCTCAGGCTGGAAGGAAACCTAGCTACTAATTCTTCACATTATGTTCCCTTTGCTAAAGCAACTGGTGTGGTCTCCTGGTGGGGGCATGCCCGCAATGGCAGCACTGATTTTTCTGGTCTATCCTGATGCTAATGCACAGAACTTGATTTTAAAAGGCCCTGGTCTCTGCTTCCTGTGGCCAAGTCCTGAGCTGCTTTCCTCCACCATTCCCTTCTGCCATGATGTTCTGCCTCACCTTGGGCCCAGAGCAATGCTGTCACCCGTCTATGAACTGCAGCTTCTAAAACCATGAGCAGCAAATAATCCTTTTCTCCTCGATATTCTTGTCAGGTCTTTTGGTCACAGCAGTAAAAAAGCTTGAATGTGTAATTCTTGGTTTTCTAAATGAACCTGTGCCTGTACTGAAAATCAAAGATATAAATAAAGGGCCCTGAGTGGTTTGGTAGAGAAGACAAGACAGAGCCTGGCCCCCAAGCAAAGAAGATGGCACCTCAGAGATCACTGCCACATCACAGAGAGCTGGGATCCTCAAAGGGTAACATTCTCAGTAGGTAAATTAGGGGAAATTGTGCCTATGGAAACAGTCTAGGAGAACTATCTTGGCCTTCACTGAGAAAAGGAGAAAAATTCTCTCTGCAGAACTCCCAGTCACAAATCTTACTCTCAAACATTTGCAGTTAAAAATTATACTGCCAGG